GGTATCCCAGAGAGTAGTTCAGTGGAACTCTGAACATCTGGTTTTAAAAAAAAGGAAAATGAATATTTTTTGAGTAAATACTATGTGTCAAGAACTGTGCTAGACCATTGTACAGGACTGAGCAATTGTGCTCTTCTACCAAGTAGATGGCTTCTGGAGGGACAGTGCTAGGACATAGATAACCCGAGGTCAGACAACTCCGTCAGCCTTGGGAATTCATGGACAGAAGATGGGGCTGCCAGATCGTGCTCACATCCTTTTTGATTTATCATCTCGTTTTCCTCACAGCAGCCCTTATCCTTATTTTTCGGTTGAAATAGATTCTATTTGCCTAAAGTTAGGTAGATAGTAAGTGGTCTTAGCTAACTTCTTTTTGGTACATGCCTCACTTTTTTGTGTCTTCTAAACTATGCGTGTATTATTACCACTACCAAAATCCTGCCCTCCAACCTCCAGTTGTCTGTTCTTCTTTTAAGATGCTTAGATCAATGTCACCACTATAAAATTTTTGCCAGCTGTCTACTGACTGAGCTAATACCTTGTCTGTATTCCCACCAGCTCTCTAGTTTATTTTTCTATTATAGCATGGAACTTCTTGCACAATGAATAATTTGCACAGTGAATACAGTCTCTTCTGCTACATTTTTAATTCTTTAGGGACCCTGACCATATTTAATTTGTATTTAAAGGATCAGATCTAATACCGTGGAGAATGTAGCTATACATGCTAGCTGGCTGGATGAATAAGTGAATTTGTATTTCATAATTTTGTTTACATTCATAACAACATAAAAGGAAAAATGAGGTGTAATCTTAAGGTCTTCTCGGGTCTTTTCTAAGCCTTTCCCTGAGCGTGCACCATCACTTTCTAATTTTCTCGTATATGCAATTGTTTCTGAATGTCCTGGTCTTTAACTCTGGCTCCCAAAAGGGGTAAAAATGAAAAATGAAGTGTCAGGGGGGAAGAAAAGGATTGGTGTTGGCTTTTTAAATCCCTTGGAAATCACTGCAGCCAGAGGGGGAGGGGCCTGCAACAGTGTGAGAGGTGCGCCTCTTACTCTGCTCCCCTGTGGTCAGAAGCAGAGATATTTGGAGGACTGGGTCCTTTTGCCCACTCTGGCTCCCGCAGGCTACCTGTGTGCAAGCTGCTCTAGCAGTACAGGTAAGGATGGTGGATGGGTAGCTACTAACTATACTCGGAACTGAAATGGGCTGATATTAACTGCAGTTTACCTTCCAAGTCTTCCCTGGAAGGTACAAGCCTTGAACAGACTCCAGAGTTCCAAAATAGTTACATGTGACAGATTTCTCCCTTGCAGTCGTTGGGGTTAGGGATGCAGTTTTCTGGTGCTATTTATTCTACCATCTTCCTTTTTATTGCTTTCACGATTTTGGTTTTTACATTTAGCTCTTTGAGCCATGGAGTATGGAAGATTGATTTGTGTGGTGTGAGGTAGGGTTCTAACTACTCTTTCATGCTAATCAGCTATCTAAAGACAGTTTATTAAATAGACAATCTTTTTTATTAGTGATTTGAAATGTCATCTTTATTATATACTACATTTTCATTTATTTAAGAGTCATTTCTGAAATTCTTCTTTTGGCATATTTTACACATATGCCACTACCATACACAATTAGAACACTAATTGCTGCAGTTACTTAGTGTATGTACTGTTTTATGGAAGAAATCTCTTTAGTAGATCTTTTCAACTGTATTACTAATGTCTTATTTTTTAAGCTGAATTGTTATTATATGGGTCCTTTTTATGTTTTTCTTCATGTTTTTTTCTTTGAGATAGTTCATAATGCATATTTGTAATTTTATAGGTGTTAACTTTAGGATTGCATTATTTTAGAGTGTGATTGAGTGAAAGTTGACATCTTTAAAATTCTGTGTAATCCCATTGAGAAACATGGCCTGTCTTTATTTCTGTAGACCTTTTTATATTCTAGTAATTTAGTAAAGCTTAAAAAGTTTATCATGTAAGTATTGCACATTTCTTATTAAATTTGTTCCAGATATCTTATCAATTTTTATTACTATTCTGAATGAAATTCTGTTTTTACATTACATTTCTTAATTGGATTTTACCAGTATATAGGAAACTAATAATTGTTGTACACTATTTTTTTATCCAGACACCTTACTGAATACTATATTTTCTAAAAGCTCCAAATAGTGACTTTTTAAAGCCATTTTCTGATACATAAACCTTTTGTCCTTGATATCCTATGACATTGACCTCTAATAAAATGTTGAATAGTGTCAGTGATGGTTGAACATCCTTGCTTCTCTTGACTTTAAAGGGAAAGGTTCTAATTTACTTAAGCACAAAATATACATTTTAGTAAATGTATAGTTCCTATACATTTGTTATTTTGTGTATTTATTATTTATTATGTATTATCTATGACATTACCAAGGATTACATTTTCAGAAGTTTTTAAAGATTATGGAATACTTGAATCCTATTGCCATATTACTTTTAGCATGCCTTGCAATTTTTTGTTGAAAGTCAGGTGATAATACTGGGTAAAATTATAACTAAGGTAAATAGGCCTTTATTATGAGGCTTTATGTTTACCTGGTGAGGGGTTAGGCCATACTTTTGCTGTAGCTGTAGGTATCAGAGGATAAAATTCCCTTCAGTGTCCATGTTTTTGTTTTTGGGTTTCTGTAGAAACTTCCTAAATTCCCCTGTCACATAGGAGCCCTGTTGATGTGCTGGTGAGGTCGGGGGAAACTTCGTACACTGCTGAGTTGTTTCAGTCCCTTAGTGAGCTTGTGCCCCTGGGCTGTGACCTCCACAAGTGCTTGTGTTTTTTTTTTTGTTTGTTTGTTTTTTTTAACCACCTTAGTTGAAGCAACAAAGCCTACATGGAAGGCTAGTGCAGGCTAGGCCTGGATATTTCTCTTCCCCACAGCTGGTTTCTGGTAAAACCCCAGTCATTCAGGTTCCAATAAAATAGTTTCTCTTGAGGGTGGGCTTTGTTAAGAATAGAACACTTTGGCTTGTTTAAAAATGGCTACCTTTCCTGTCTCCTTGCTGAAGCACAAGGCGATTCTCTGATCTGGACTTTGAGAACATGGTAGGGTTCCTGGAGGCGAAACTCACAGAAATGTGGCGTCCGCCATAAGACTAGGCTCTCGTGGAGTGTTAACTCTTAAATTTGTCTACACTGATCCTCCAGCAATTCATCAGTTAGGGTTGAAGTTTTCCTACACTGGTCCTGGAAACCCGGAGCTTTCTACTCAAGGGTTTCCGCTCTGGTAAGTTGTGATTTTCCATATCTGCTTCTCCAGTTTTGGGGACAGTGTTTCTCTCTGTGATCTCAGTTCTCGAAAGAATCTAAGCAGAGTTGTTAGTTTTCACTGTGTTCAACTCTTTGTTGTTGTGTGGATGAGAGTGACATTTTCTAAGCTCTTATATGCCAGACTGCATGCAGACCAGAAGTCTTACTGCTTTCGAAGATTGATTTATTTATTGCTGGTATTCATACTGTATCCTATTCCAGTATGTGATATAAGTATATTCACCAGTGGCTAAAACAGAAAGACCTAGATTAGGAATTTAAATATCATGGCCTTGGAATTATAAATACAAGACATTGGAAATACATTTTCTGCTAATCAAAGGATAAGCAAGTTGAGTTTCTTGGTTTTTGTTTTTTGGTTTTTTTTTTTGCACATATAACATGTCAGTATTGTGTTATTGTTTAATAATACATATTGGGCATCTGATTTCTTAGTCTTTTTGACTTGCTGAGAAAAACGACACAAAGCTTAACAGGGCAGTGTGGTTACAACAGTTGAAGAATAGCTTGTTTGTTGGCCTCAGGAAAACACGTATAAAGGATGCACTAATTTCTGTTTACAGTCTGCAAAAACATCCGTGCAGATCTGTTAGTATCAGGAGTGCCTTATTTGAAAGCTGCTTGGTCATCTCTAAAGTTTTCTAAAGTATTTACTGAGATTAAGTGCTGCATGCCTTGTCTCCTACTCATTCTTTACCACCCCCTGCTCTTGTACATTCCATGTGTGAAAAAGGAACGGCCCAATATTGGGAAGAACGTAGAATGCATTTTTCTGTGTAGCAGCATAAGAATCATACTTTTTCTTCTTTCATTTTAGCACAGTACAATACAGAGTATAATAGGGCCCCAATTTTTTTGAGCCATGGTAATCTAAACCTTTTTAATTGATAAATGCTATCTATAGTTGCTGTTGCTAGATATAGCTAAGGCTGTGAATTTAAAACTTAATTTAAAAAAAATGAAAAGATTTGTCAGCTGTTTATGGGACCGTGAATCTTGACCTACTCATTGTTGTGCATTGGAGTGTTGGTGGGCTTCCTCCCCCCTAACCCCCAGCTTCCTGGAGGTATAATTGACATATAAAACACTGCCCATAATTAACATATACAGTCTGGTGAGTTTGGATATACGTATACACTCATGTTACCACTGCCACAATCAAGGTAATGAACTTCTAAGGTATCCTCAAAAACAGTAAATATTGATTTATAACCCCCCATTTAATGATTTGCCACACTATACTGATCATTTATTTGTCTCTGAAATGTGTTATTTTAATTAGACACATCAGTACAGTCACCATTAGTAGTGCATATAACAATGCTGGTGTCTCTGCATGGAGCCAGGTACTGTTGAAGTGACAGTGAGTGACA